TGTTGCTGGTGGTGACCGGCTCTTTCTGTCTGGGGCAGGTGTTGCTGGTGGTGACCGGCTCTTTCTGTCTGGGGCAGGTGTTGCTGGTGGTGACCAGCTCTTTCTGCAGCTCCCTGTCTGGGGCAGGTGTTGCTGGTGGTGACCGGCTCTTTCTGCTGCTCTCTCTGCACCTGGGTGCCTTCGCTTTTACAGATGTGGCTTCAGAAGTTGTAAGATGTACATGAATAGAAGGCGACTGACAGTTTGCACACCTGTCTTGTAGATGAAAAGGTGTAAGGAGGCCTCTGCTCACGGGGCTTACTCAGACCTGCTGCAGCATCAGAGGGCAGTGCTTACGGAGAACAGCAAGCTCACAGGCAAGATCTGTGAGCTGGAGAGCATGGTGGCCGACCTGAAGAAGCAGAAGTCCCGGGCAGAGGCAGAGCTCCCGAAGGTCAGGGAGGCTGTGGAGAGTGAGTTGAGGAAGCAGCAGCGAACGGTGGAAGACATCGCTCTGCAGAAGACGAGGGCTGAGGGGGAGGCGCAGCGGTACCGGCTGGAGCTCGAAGGCATCGTGCGGGAGAAGGAAGCCGCTGAGCGGGAGCTGGAGCGAGTCCGGCAACTTACCCTGGAGGCCGAGGCCAGAAGGGTGGCTGTGGAAGAGAACCTTGTGAACTTCCGGAGCCAGCTGGAGGAGAACACCTTCACAAGAAGAACCCTGGAGGACCATCTGAAAAGGAAAGACTCCAGCCTCAATGATTTGGAACAGCAGAAAAAGACGTTAATGGAAGAACTAAGAAGGAAGAGAGATCGTGAAGAAGAACTCTTGAAGCTGGTCAAGCAGATGGAGAAAGACCTTGCCTTTCAAAAGCAGGTGGCAGAGAAACAGCTGAAGGAAAAGCAAAAGATTGAGCTGGAAGCAAGACGGAGAATAATGGAGCCACAGCACCCATGTGGGGAGGGCGCGCTGCGGCCGGAGCTGGCTCTTCATGCCGAGTGCGACAAGCAGAAAACAAAGGATCTCAAGCAACAGGTGGATGAACTCACTGCTGCCAACAGGAAGGCAGAGAAAGACATGAGGGAGCTCAAGTATGAACTTGCTGCCCTTGAGCTTGAAAAAACCTCATCTGAGGAAAAGGCTCGTGTGCTGAAAGATAAGCTGGATGAAACAAACGATGCCTTGAGGAGCCTGAAGCTGGAGCTGGAGCGGAAGGGCCAGGTGGAGGAAGGGTACTCCCAGCAGCTCCGAGAACTGAGTCGGCAGCTCCACCAAACCTCTGGCAGGGCCGAAGAGGCCATGCAGGAGGCCGACAACCTCAAGAAGATCAAGCACACTTACCAATTAGAATTAGAGTCACTCCACCAGGAGAAGGGGAAGCTGCAGAGAGAAGTGGACAGAGTGACCCGGGCCCACGCCGTGGCTGAAAGGGACGTTGAACACCTAAATTCCCAGATCCATGCTTTCCAGAACGAGAAGGAGTTCTCCAGTGAAAGCCGAAGGCTCTGCCAGAGGAAGTCAGATCATCTCAAGGAACAGTTTGAGAAAAGTCACGAGCAGTTGCTTCAGAATATTCAAGCTGAGAAAGAAAATAACAATAAGATCCAAAAGCTCAACAAAGAACTGGAGAAAAGTAATGAGTGCGCAGAAAAGCTAAAACAAAAGGTGGATGAGCTGACCAGGCAGAACACGGAAACCAGATTATTGATGCAGAAGGTCCAGGCAGACTCGGAGAGCATCGCGCTGGAGAAGCAAGCCATCCAGCAGCGCTGCGAAGTGCTGCGAATTCAGGCAGATGGCTTTAGAGATCAGTTGCGTAACACAAACGAACACTTGCATAAACAGACAAAAACAGAACAGGATTTCCACCGGAAGATTAAGAGCCTAGAAGAAGACCTGGCCAAGAGTCAGACTTTAGTGAGTGAATTTAAGCAAAAGTGCGATCAACAGAGCGCCATCATCCAGAGCACAGAGCAGGAAGTCCGGAGCCTGAGCGCAGAGCTGAGCGCCTCCAAACAGGACAAGCTTCGGGGGGAGCAGCAGGCCCAGCGGCAGCAGGCCCAAGTACAAGAGCTGAACAACAGGTTGAAAAGGGTACAGGATGAACTGCACCTCAAGACCATCGAAGAGCAGATGGCGTACAGGAAGATGGCTGTGTTTCAGGAAGAGTCTGAAAAATTCAAGCGCTCAGCAGAGGAGTTTCGGAAAAAGATGGAAAAATTGATGGAGTCCAAAGTGATCACTGAGAATGATATTTCAGGCATTAAACTTGATTTTGTGTCTCTGCAGCGAGAAAACTGCAGAGCTCAAGAGAATGCGAAGCTTTGTGAAACAAACATTAAAGAGCTTGAGAGGCAGCTTCACCAGTACCGAGAACAAATGCAGCAGGGGCCGCATGTGGAAGGAAACCATTACCAGAAGTGTCGGAAACTGGAGGATGAGCTGATAGCCCAGAAACGGGAAGTTGAGAACCTGAAGCAAAAAATGGATCAGCAGATAAAGGAGCAGGAACATCAGTTAGTTTTGCTGCAGCGTGAGATCCAAAATCGGGACCCCGCCAAAGACTCTGCCTTTGCCCCAGCTTGTGAGAGCACAGTAAAGGAGGGTCAGCACCCCACTGATGGCCCCTCAAGAAACACTATCCACCTGCACCCCACGGCCAGGACTCTGCTGAGACGGGCCCAGGAGCCACAGCAGGTGGAGGAGACATGGCAGCATTGGGGTGCTGAGCAGATACCAAAGCCCCTGTTCCAGCAGCCCGGTCCCCTGGAGAAAGAGAAGAGCCAGCAGTGTTACTCGGAGTATTTTTCTCAAACGAGCACTGAATTACAGATAACTTTTGATGAGACAAGCCCCATTACAAGGCTTTCAGAAATTGAGAAGATAAGAGACCGTGCTCTGCACAGTTCCAGGCCACCAGTCAGGTATCAGGACGACCAGCAGGAGATGGAGCTGGTGACGCTTTTGACACCCTTAGAGGTACACGCTGCCAAGTGCTGAGTTTCTTCTCCTTCTCTTTGCTCTCCTAGACTACAGTTCTAATAATCTTCAGTGTTTGGCTCCTGATCATTTTGAGAGGGAAAAAAATTATCCTTTAATTTGTAAAGAGTAGCAATTAAAGACACAGATATATCTGTGGGAATATATATTTGTAATGTGACTTTAAAAAAAAAAGCTAAAAGGGCTGAGATCAAGGGTAATTGAAGCCAGCCCAGGCCAAAAAAAAAGTCCATGAGGCTCCATTTCCAAAATAGCTAGTAAAATGCCAAACTGGAAACATGGCTCAGATGGCAGAGCTCCAGCTATGAGCAAGAAAGCTGAGAGAGAACAGGAGACCCTGGGTTCAAGCCCTGGTACTGGTGAAAAACAAAATAAAAAAAATACTAGAAGAACCAAGCAGTTAAGAGTAACTTCTAAGTCAATACAAGTCAGGTTCTCAAAATAATGTTACTTACTTCCAGCCCTCAGCTTGATTTTTTTCTTCTCCTGAAGAAAAAGAACTGTTCTTGTATCTCTTACCTATCTTTGTAACTCATGAAATTGTGTTTGGATGGAGAATGGCAAGGTAGCATAACCACTTTTAACATCTGCAACATTCCTGTTACAGATAGCTAAGAACAAGCAGTATGACATGCGGGCAGAAGCCACAACACTAAGACAAGAAAAGACCCCAGCCCCCAGGGCAGATGAATGGAAGCTGGATGGATGTAGTGTGTCCACCGGATCCAAGAGAGGAGAATTCCCCAGGGGAGGCTCCGAAGCAGAGCCGTGGCCGAAGCTGGACGACAGTCAGGCAAACTCTGTGAGGGATGAGGAGTTCAGATTCCAGGGCCTTCGGCGTTCTGTGACCGCTAGACAGTTGGTCGAAGTGAAGCTTCTAGACATGAGAACGGTCGAGCAGCTGCGATGTGGTCTGCAGACTGTTGAGGAAGTTCAGAAAAGTCTTAGCAAGTTCTTGACAAAAGCCACATCCATTGCAGGGCTTTATCTAGAGTCTACGAAAGAGAAGATTTCCTTTGCTTCGGCTGCCAAGAAAATCATAATAGACAAAATGATGGCATTAGCCTTTTTGGAGGCTCAGGCTGCAACAGGCTTTATAATTGACCCCATCTCAGGTCAGATGTATTCTGTGGAAGATGCGGTTCTGAAAGGGGTGGTTGAGCCTGAGTTCAGAATTCGACTTCTGGAGGCAGAGAAGGCAACCCTGGGCTATCCCTGTGCTTCTAAGACATTGTCAGTGTTTCAGGCGATGGAGAATAGAATGCTTGACAGGCAGAAAGGGAAACATATCTTGGAGGCCCAGATTGCCAGTGGGGGTGTCATCGACCCTGTGAGGGGCGTTCGTGTTCCCCCGGAGATTGCTCTGCAGCTGGGCTTCCTCAACAACGCCATCTTGCAATTTTTGCATGAGCCTTCCAGCAACACAAGAGTTTTTCCCAACCCCAACAACAAGCAGGCTCTGTATTACGCAGAATTACTGCGAATGTGTGTCTTCGATGTGGATTGCCAATGCTTTCTGCTGCCATTTGGGGAGAGGAACATTTCCAGTCTCAGTGTGCAGAAAGCCCACAAGATTGCAGTGGTAGACACCAAAACTGGAGCAGAACTGACTGCATATGAGGCTTACCAGAGAAACCTGATTGAGAAAGGCATTTACCTTGAACTCTCAGGACAGCAGTATCAATGGAAGGAAGCTACCTTTTTTGAATCCCAAGGGCCTCCTTCTCACATGCTGACAGAGGTGAAAACTGGCCTGCAGTTCAATATCAATGAGGCTGTAGAGCGGGGCACGGTTGATAAGGCGGTGGTCAGGAGGTATCAGGACGGCCTCATCACCCTGACAGAGCTTGCTGACTCTCTGCTAAGCAGCTTGGCTCCCCAAAAGGACCCACACAGCCCCATTGCAGGCTACTGGCTGACTGCCAGTGGGGAAAGGATCTCCCTCCTCAAGGCCTCCCGCAGAAATCTGGTGGATCGAGTTACCGCCCTCCGATGCCTTGAAGCCCAGGTCAGCACTGGGGGGATAATCGATCCCCTGACAGGCAAAAGGTACAGGGTGGCTGAAGCCTTGCACCGAGGCCTGGTTGATGAGGGCTTTGCCCAGCAGCTGCGGCAGTGTGAACTGGTCATCACGGGGGTCACCCACCCTGTGACCAGCAAGACGATGTCGGTGGTAGATGCTGTGAATGCAAACATCATCAGTAAGGAAATGGGAATGCGCTGTCTGGAGTTCCAGCACTTGACTGGGGGTGTGATCGAGCCCCACGCCCACACACGCATGTCCATAGAGGAGGCCCTGCAAGCGGGCATCATCGACGTCCTCATCGCCACCAGGCTGAAAGATCACAAGTCATACATCCGAAATATAATCTGTCCCCAGACCAAAAGGAAGCTGACCTATAAAGAAGCCCTAGAGAAAGCTGATTATGATTTCCACACAGGACTTAAACTTTTAGAAGTGTCCGAGCCCTTGAAGACGGGGATTTCTAGCCTCTACTATTCCTCCTAGTCCTGTGTGAGCAGCCGTGCTGGCTGGTGCGGGGCCGGCTGTTAGAGCCTCCAAGTGACTTGAAGCACTGGTTATTTCTTGAGGGTTGGAAAGCTCTCACTGTCCAGAAAAGATGAGAATTTAAAAATTAAAAACACAGGCGATTCCATGTTCTTTCTGTGGTTCTCTTTCGCTTTGACAATAGTTGTTTTGACTCTTTCTTGCATTAAAATTAGCCCATGATCCCTACAGTAAGGATAAGGATTGCACCTGAGTGCATTCTCGGCGTGGTTTCTTTAGACCTCCCTCTCGTGGACTAGATGTGGCTGGCACAGCCGGTCTGGCATTTGCATTCCATTTTGCTGATTTCTGTGGTCCCAACAAAGCTCTTGCAAAGCAACTGGGGTCCAAAGGAGGTTGCATTCCAGGGCCCCCAGGCTGCACTGTTGTGGACGGCTTCCTGTGTACAGTAACCTTCTTTACATATTACAGTGCTCACCATAGCCTCTCATTTCTAGACTTGGAATTAAATCCAGCCAGTGATGTGTTGGATGCTGGGGTGGGGTGGGGGTAGTTCCTCATTCTGCACATTTTCGTCCTTGTAGACAAGCTTTGTTCTTCAGCTGTCCGTTGCCTCATACCTTCCATTGTAATGCTAATGCCAAGGCCTCGTGAATAAAGTGGTTGTGTGCTTGTCCTGTTGATCACACAGCTGGGAGGTTGGAGCAGTGATGGGAATATTTGCAACAGTTGCTTTGCACCATAAACATTTTGGAAGTACATCTGTTGTGTGACATAGTAAACACGATTCAGAGAATAAACCAGTGTCTCAGCAACCTGTGTAGGACAGAAGGCATTTTTGCATTCTTGTTTTCAGTTTCATAGCTCAGTTGTTTAATGTGTTTTTTTTTCTTTAACCACTTACAACCTGTCAGAAGTCTCTGGAAGAAGAAAAGGAAGAACATGTTGAAAAAGCCAAAGAATTGCAGAAATGGGTGTTAAACATAAGCAAGACCTTAAGGAACGGAGAGAAGGCTGGGAAACCTCTCTTCTCTAAGCAGAAGGTATTCACACAGGATTTTGCTTAGTGGATACAATTTCCTGACTTGGTATAATACACCTAAACACTGTGTTTAATTATTTACCTTAATTTCTCCTGGTTTTACAATAAATGATGGTGCAGATCACTTGTCCAGGAGTTGTAGTTAGTGCATGTCTCTGATTGCAAAGTCCAAACCACATCCCTCTGTATCCCCTACTAGGTCAGTGAGTTAATAGGTTGTGCAGTACCTCCTTCCTCCCCCTACTACTGGAATGAGGACTGCTCAAGAGCAGAATCACCGTTTGGAGTCCATTGTAACCCATGCTCTCCACCCCCACGTAGACACGTGAGACCATTGTAACCCAGGCCCCAGGACACAGGGCTTCCATTGTACCATGGAGACACGCAGAGTCCATTGTAGCCCGGACCCTCTGCTCCATGGAGACTGGGTGTCCACTGTAGCCTGGACCCTCTGCCCCATGGAGATGGGGTGTCCATTGTAGCCT